CACCCCACCACCACCGACACCACCACACCATCACCATTAACCCTAAAAACCGGAAAAAAAACCCCAAAAAAACCCCAAAAAAATAAAAAAAACCAAAATTAAACAAGGAAAATTAATAGAAATGTATAAATATATAATTTTCTAATAAATTTTATAAATTAACATTACAATTACATATACAATTAACTAGATCTAAACATTTATTCAAAAAAAAAAACTAGTTCTAAACACAAACCTAAATTACAAGATCTACAATTGATGTTGTAGTTGTTGTTGATGAAACCGAGTCAAGCCTCGTTTCGACTACAATTGATGTTGTAGTAGTTGTCGTTGTTGTTGTTGAGTCAACCGTTTATGAGTTGGTGAAAGATTAGAGGAGGTGAGGAGAGAGAAAGAGGAGGAGGAGAGGAAGAGAGGAGACAGAAAGAGAAATGAATAGGAAGAGATGCAAAAGGGGCGGGGAGAGAGAAATGAAAAGGGAAGGGGGCAGGGGTCCGGTTTTAGTTTTAGGGTTTATTTTTGTTTTTTTGTTTTTTTTTTCTTTTTTAAATAAATTTCTGTCGAAAAAGGCCTAAATTCCGTCGGAAATTTTCCTACGGATTTAGAACCGTAGGAAATTAATAGGTTCCGACGGATTATTTTCCTTCAGAATTTAAATGTTCCGACGGAATTTTCCGTTGGAACCTATTAATTTCCGAGGGATAAAAAATCCATCGGAATACTTCCGAGGGATTTTCCGTCGCAACTTATATTTTCCGACGGATTTTTTTTACTGACCAAAATTCCGTCGGAATATTCGAATTTTCCAACGGAATTTAAGTTCGTCGGAACAAATCCGTCTGAAAACAGCCTATTTCTAGTAGTGAAATCTGCGACCGTTTTTTTTTGCAGTCGTAGTTTTGCGACCGTTTTAAAGGCAGTCACAATTTTTGCAACCGTATTTACTTATTAAACCATCGCAATGGTATTTGAATAATGTTTTTTTTTAAAAAAAAACATGTGAAAATAATTCAAAAATAAAAATAAAATAATTGCGACTACCAAAAACGGTCGCAGCTTGCTACCGTATGTTAAACAGTCGCTATTTGCGACCGTTTTTAGCGGTCGTAATTGTTTTATATTTATTTTTTAAATAGGGTATAAAAAGGGTTCCAACTCACACTAACCCTAATTTTTTTAACACAACCGCTCTTCCTCTTTTTTCTTTCTCTCTCTTCTCACGCCGCTCTTCCTCCATTTTGCCTATCTCCTCTCTTTCCTTCTCTTCCTTCGCACGCCCCTCCTCTCTCTGCTTCATTCTCCTCTCTCTGCTTCATTCTCCTCTCTCTTTCTCATCCCATAAGTCTCTGACTTTCATTGCTGAAAAATCAGACAAAGCACTTTGAGAATTGAAGAATCAGAAGCCGGAAAATCGCTGCTCGTGAATTCTCTCTCCTCTACGCTGCTCGTTCAAGCTTCGACTCAAATCGGAAGCTTCGCTTGTGGTGTTGATGCCGGCGATTTCTCTCTCCTCTACGCTGCTCGTCACGACCACACACTCGAGCCATCGTCACGACCTCCGCCGTCACAAGGACGAGCCTAAAAGAAGTCAAGGTTTTCTAGATCTGATATTTAATTTAGGCTAGATTGTAGATCTAGTTTTATTGTTTCTAATTTTTATTGATGTATAATTGTTTTATTGTAACTTTAGTTTATAAAAATTGAAAAATTTATATAATTGTTTTATTTCTGATTTGCGGATAATTTTCTGTATTTTGTATAATTGTTTTATTTCTGATTTTGTGGGTAATTTTTTGAATTTTTGATAATTTTGTGGGCAGTGGCGGTGGGTTGAGGTGGTTTCAGGTGAGAGGCGGTTGGTGGTGGTGGGTAAAGGTGGTTACGAGTGAGAGACGGTGGGTTGAGGTGGTTTCGGGTCAAAGGCGGTGGGTAAATTAAAGGTGAAATGGTGGTGGGTAAAGGTGTATGGTGGGAAGAGGTTGTGGGTAAAGGGGGAGATGGTTTTGGGTGCGCTTGTTTTCATTTTCCTTTTATTTTTTTTTATTTTTTTTTAATTTTAGCAACCGTCAAAAGCGGTCGCTAATCTAAAAATTGCGACCGTTATTAAAACGTCGCAATTAATTAAATTTGCGACCGTTTTCACACATGGTTGTTGAAAATATGAAAACGGTCGCAATTAAATTTGCGACCGTCAATCAGTCGTAATAATGTCATTTTGCGACCAAGTAAATAATGACCACCTTGTTACGACCGTTGACGATCACAATTATTTTCAACGACCGTTTTTACTATTTTCAGGGACCGTACTAGGCGGTTGCAAAACCTTAATTTTTAGTTGTGATTGTTTTTAAGGTTTTTATTAATCGATAATTGCATAAATGTTTAAGTAGGTTAAACTTAGGTTGTATATTGACACATGTGTCAATTAAATAAATTGTTGCGAGTATTCAAAAATGAAGGAAGTAACAAACATATATAATTAAAGTTAATTTGAAAATAGTATAAAAAAAATCAATATGATGCAACTATAGTGAAAATGACTTAGGGTCGAGGAATGAAAGTACTCTAAACAACCGAAAACCTGTTGTATCGGTATTTGAAAAGTAGGGTGCCTAATCCAATAATCATAACATTTTAGGTACCCGGTCCGATGATTCACTTCTCCGTCAAGTACTTAAAAACGATTCGATAAACTTTTTTTTTTCCACTTAAATTTAGTAATCTAAAACCTAAACTCTAACATTGTCATAGTTAATTCGTAATCTGAATAAATTGTGATATTATAAGTAAATTAGCCAACATCATATTGTAATGTGGTTAATTCGTGTTGAACAATCTCATATTCTCTGCGGTTCGTAATAATCGCATTATTTTATTTTTACATCCGTTTCATAATAATTGCAACATTTTCTTATTTGGTAAGGACCCAGTAATCTAATATATATATATATATATATATAGATATATAAAGGGGAGTTTTTTCACGAGTTTTTAAAGAGCCACATAGGATAAAATTTTCTTAATGCGCCATGTAAGATTATAAATTTGAGTTATAGCTAATCAAATAAGAGATTTGCTATTTCTTTTAGAATTAAATAATTCGAATGCCACATAAGAAAAATTGGAGAATGAGATTTTAGATTTAAATTAGTTAAATATAATATATTATCTTTTGAAATTAGGAATTTTATCTAAATATATAACAGATGAGAGGAAATTCACAATTTATTTTAAAATAAAAATATTAAATGATATACTACGTACAACGAATAAAATAACAAATTTTATCACATAAATACAAAAAATATTTGTTTTAAAAAATACAAAAAAGGGCTTCATCTAGTATTTTATTATTTCTCTCTCCTATTAATCGCACTTACACTACTTTTTTTTAATTATTATTTCTCTCACCTACTAACATTTAAATATATATCTCCACTAACTATACTTTACTCCATATATTATAAAATTTATCTTTTAGTCTCACCCTATAACTTTCCTTAAACTTTGAGCAACACTATTACAAAACGAAGGGATTAATAACTTAATTTCAATGCCTAACTTTTCATATATAGATATCATGCATATTGGATATCTAATATCCTATCTAATAATCCAAATACTTGAAGCTCAGTTACCCAATCTTATTGGTTCGATTCATGAATATCAATTTTAGCATGATTGATTGATTGGTTATCAAATACCCAATCTAATTATGTTATCGATTTGGATACCCGACTCATGCTCGCCCTTATGAAACGTTGCAAAAATTTAGATTTTTCTTAAAACATATTCCTTGGATCTTCCTTAAAGGTTAAAGTAGTGCTGCAATTTTATTCTATATCTATACCTTCAAAATAAAGTTTATTCCATGATCAAAACGAACTTAAAAAATGATCAAAGGGCTTTTTCGTAATTTCATCCATCACTCTCTCTTTCACCTCTTAAGTGGAGGCAACTCTGGCAAGTTCAGTGCCACTTTTTACATCTTACCTCGTGTCAGTCACGTGATTATCATCAATCATTCAATATATTCCTCATTTTCTTTGGCTTTTCCGGTTTTTTTTTTCCCTCTTTTTTATAGAAATTTTCTGTCCCTGAATTTGATTTATTGGGATTTTAGAGGTACAATAATGTGGTGTGTTGGCACATCATCAATGGTTTAAACTGACCTTTAGGACATACCACGTGTCAGATAGGTGACCCCTTCCTAGAAAATTGGACCCACCTAGATAACCAATAGGATCTTGACAATACACTTCTTAATTGATCATAGAAAAAAAAAATTGATTATGTAAAGGTTGCAATCACAATTATGGTAGGTATAAATGAATGGTGAAGCTTTCCTCAGAATAACTGTCAAAAACTATCAACAATTAGACCATTATCAGTAATGAGGAGAAAACAAACCCCTCAATCTCTCTCTACCCACTTTCTCTCTCTTCCCATCCAATTCCTCTCATGAGAGGTTTTTTTTTCTACACCAATGCTCTAAAAAAAAAAAACTCCTCATCACTTTATCCTCCACTATTTACTATACCCCACCATAAATACACATATTTAACTTTCCAATACAATTAAAAATATGTAATTTTTTTTTTCATTACATTTTAATTGTAATGTAATATTTTTTAATAATTTATTAATTATTTTGGTAAATTTTTATTTTTTTTGTTTTATATTTGTATTTATTTAATGACAGGTAAAATTAATAAAAAGAACATTTTCAATATAATTTTGAATTTTACGCTCTTATTAGAATATAATAATTAATAAAAATTACAGCAATTATAGATTGTACGAAAGATGTTTTCTTAAACTTAAACGATTACATAATAAGAAGCACATTTTTGAAATGAACACATAAACGGCAATACAAATACATCGGATATTAAATAACAGTACGTTTACGAACTAAATAAAAGCGGTTTGAGCTAAAATAATACACGAGGACGAGTATTAAAACTTAAACACGATACGATTACATTCTACAACTTTGCTTATTCAGTCGTATTATGACGAAAGTTCTGCCATATGTGTTCTACTAAATCTTGTTTAAGAGACGAATGAATTTCTCTATCACGAAGGGCAATCCTCCTCTGAAAATACGCGTTGAAATCTATGTTGGGCGGCCGCCCGACGTTGAATTCAAATGGCTCGTTGTTATTCACCGTGGCACTTGTGCTCGGTCCCGCCCGCGCTGCTGGACGTTGTGGTCGATCTTCTTCGTAGTATCGTCTCAAAACATCTTCCCGTGTGTAGTTGTGTCGTTCATCCTCGACGATCATGTTGTGCATTATTATACAGACTTTCATAATGTCACAAAGAATATCTTCGTCGAAGGCCAGTGCAGGTTGTCGTAGTATAGCAAACCTAGCTTGTAAAACTCCGAAAGCCCGTTCAACGTCTTTCCGAACTGCTGCTTGTTGATCAGCAAACAACTTGTCTTTTTGAACTTGAGGATGTGTAATACCTTGTATAAAAGTTGGCCATTTCGGATAAATCCCATCTGCCAAGTAGTAGGCCAACTCATATTGATGTCAGTTTACCCAAAAAAATTTTGGTGGTGCACGACCTTGTAAAACATCATCAAACACCGGTGAACGGTAAAGGACATTAAGATCATTACATGAGCCAGGCATTCCAAAGAACGCATGCCAAATCCATAAATCCTGATCAGCAACGGCTTCAAGAATGAGGGTTGCAGTCTTGCTACGACCAGCATATTGTGCTTTCCAAGCCGTAGGACAATTCTTCCACTCCCAATGCATGCAGTCTATACTACCAATCATGCCTGGAAACCCACGCAATTCATTTTGATGAAGGATTCTCCTTAAATCTTCATCTGTAGGTTTACGTAGATATTCACTTTCAAATTGTGAAATAACCCCCTGACAAAAATGTTGCAATGCATTCCTTGAGGTTGTTTGGCCGATACGTAGATATTCATCCACGACATCGGGGGCTACGCCATACGCTAACATTCTTATTGCAGCGGTGCATTTCAGCAACGGTGATAAACCAAGCTTTCCAGCTGCATTCGGACGTTGTTAGAAGAATTGATCCCCTTCAACCACCTTATTCATAATGCGACAGAACAAAGATCTTCGCATACGAAATCTACGGCGGAATTGGTTGTCGTTATACACTGCATTACTCGCAAAATAATCGTTATATAGTTGTACATGCCCTTTTTCTCTTTCCCTATCCCTTTTAGGCTCCGTGACATTTGCTATATCATTATTAAGCTGGGATTCTTGTGATGAGTGTTGGGGAATTAAAATATGAGGTAGGTGGTTAGCAGCATAATCATCAACTAACCGGTCAAATTCAACGTTATTTGAGAAATCAGAAGAACTAGAGCTTGAGGTGGAGGAAATGAAAGACATGATTTGGTTATGGTTTGATAGTTGGTTTGTTTGGGATTCTTTCCGTTTTGAATAACACTTGCATGTATATATACTCTAAGTGACTATCAATGCATGTGAGTTGTTTCGGGGTTTTCTGATGTCCTGCGGGAGAGTTACAATTCCGAGACTGGAACCGGACGTCTGTACCTGCAAAATAACGGAGACTCCTGAGAGCTCCGCCTCCAACGGTCAAGTTAGTACCTGATTAAGGAGTAATCAATACAGAAAGTAAAGTAATGAGATCTCTCTAGGTGAGAGTGCTTAGTGTTGGTAATCTGCGTCGTTAGCGAGATTAGCCGGTTGTTAATAAGTCTGTTCTTCTCTGCTTGATCTCTTAATTATTCGGTTGTTTTTTTTGTTCCCTGATTAATGAGGATTAATCGAGTATTTATAGCCTTGGGAAGCGTGCAACTCTCTAGGCTTAAGGTAAACCTAGGGCTGATCGGGCCTCTAGACTGAAATGGGCCTTGATGGCCGGTTGTCCCACTTGGCATGGGTGGACACGTGGCGTGTCTTAAGTGGTCCGTGGAGGACGTATCTGTGACTGACACGTGGCAAGCTCCTGTTGGCCTTCGTGAAGGACACGTGGCGGAACCTGGTTGGTCCACTTGTCAGACGGTGATTGGTGGATAAAAATCCCCTAATCATTTGCCCCTCACAGGTGGCACGCGACTGGTCACGTGTCGCCTGTGACAGGTGTCGCACGGTGACAGGCGACGGCCCGTTACAGGTGTCACCTTGCAGACGGCCGAGAGATTTTCCCGCCCAAATTTGAATTTGGAAGCGACCCTTCGCCTTCTCATTTTGCCTATAAAAGGAAGTGCTGACTTCGGTCATTTTCACATTTGAGAACTTTTGCGAGAACATTCGGACCCCTGAACTTGCTCTGACATTTTCGGACTTTTTCTGCCTACCGCCTGTTCTGACAAGCCGACTGACCCGAACTTCCAGGACTTCATCAACCGTCACCCGTTCAGGTAACTCAGTTCTCTTACTCTTAATTTTCTTTTTATTTTTTGAAATGGCACCATGGAAGCACACGACACGCCCTAAGTTAGTGATCAGCCGGTCACCGGGGACGGCTGAATCTAGGACTAGGAGTGCCGCCTGCCCTTTTCTGGACCCATCTTTGCCCTTTATACAAAGTCCGACTGAATCTGTGTCTATGCAGAACGTGATGGCCAGAACAAAAAAGACTGCTATGATATCAAACTCAGACGGCTCCTCCCAAAGGGTGCTCCTTAGCGAAACATCTGACCAGGCGCCAGATGTAGAACGAGGCGACTGTCAAGCTGACAGTGCTGAGAGAGGGACCAAGGTGTTCCCTTCTCATCTAACCGTGGACATGTCTAATTTTCCTTCTGCTCCTTCTAAGGGAGAGGAGGCGGGCCCCTCTAGGAGAGGGGAGGAGTCGTCCTCTTCGGACTCGTCAGGGGACGAGTCCGAATCCAGCTCTTCTGACCATAGTTCTTCTGGCTCAGAAGAAAAACATAGCCGCCTACAAGAGGCGAGAAGTTCTCATGCAGTGGAGAAGGGGGATAATTGGGCAGAGCCGTCCGCCTCTTACAGAGAGGAAAACGCCCCCTACTACTGCAGGGTGCCCCGGGGCCGGATTGCAACCATGCGAGACAACGTGGCGAGCTTTATTGCTAACCACAAAATGGGCCCGGAGTATTTACTGTTTGTGCCGGATCCAGAAGATACTGTCGTCTGGCCGGCTGGTACCAGCTATGGTGACGGCTGCTTTGGCTGCTATGTGGCGGCCATCAAAGCTGGACTGCGCTTCCCATTACATCCGGCTGTTCAGCGGATTTTAGATGGGTATGATCTGGGGTTATGGCAGTTAGCCCCCAACTCTTGGGTAAACGTACTCGGCTATGTGGCCGGGTGCGAACTGAACGGGGTGGAGCCAAGTTTTGAGGCTTTCGCCCACATGAACTATCTCAGCCGGACCCCAAGTCGGGAGGTACCGGCTGGTATCAATTGACAAGCCATAGGGGTTACCTCATGACGAGAGGTAAGGCAAACAAATGGAAGGATTGGCGGAACACCTTCCTTATTATCGAGAGTTCAGACACGGAGCTGAACAAACGTTTTAATAAGTGGAACAGGGATCCACCTCTTCTCGCAGGCGGCCGCAGCATGCCGCCTGTTCCCCCAAAGGCTAAAAAAGAGATCCTAGACAAAGGACTCTTCAAAGTAGAGACTAGGGTGAACTCTACTTCAGGGGTACGAGAGCAAGTACCCCTAAATTGCGTCCCGAGCTTCAAGTGGCTCTATGACGAGTACTTCTTGGCCGCCTGTGGCCTCGGCAGTCGGTGCTCTAGAGGTAGCCGGCCTGACGAATACTCTGTTTTTTCACGCCTTGTTTACTTGGAATTTTTACTAACTTTGCTGTTTATTTCTTTCAGCCGACGCCATGAGTAAAATAACAGCATCTAAGACTGCGGCGGCCATGCTGCGGGTCTCACTAATGAAGCAGTCGTATGTCGACTCCCCCAGCAAGGAGGCACCCTTGGTAAGCTTTGAAAACTCCTCCTTTTAGTTGTATTATGCATATACTAACTCTTTTTGTTTTCAGTCTGGCACTCCAAGGGCTTCTTCCTCGCAACAGCCGGACCCCAAGGCCCGGAGGACGACTGTTGCAAGCTCTCCTGGGTCTTCCAGGAAAACAGTGGCGGCTGAGAAGCAGCCGGCCACTTCTTCAAAAACCCAGGCGGGGCCGCCTAGATGTATGGACACTTGCTTGTAAAAACTCACCCTTGCTTCCTTCTTGATTAGGTCTAACTTGTTTTTTCCTTTCGCTTAATGCAGCCGGCCCCCAGGGACTTGACTTGGTTGAGGTAGCCAAGTCAATGGTTAAAATAGTTCCTCCATCTGACAGGGAGGCGGTCAAGGGTGCCGGCACCCTTGACCTCGATGGAATTTCGGGGATCCTAGCTGAGGTATACTTAGCACCTTTTTGAGCTTTTGAGTTCCAGGACGCCTGTTAACTCTTTTGATTGGAAACTGACGCCTGTTTTTCTTTGTACTTAGGCCCTGCTCCGAGTCAACAGCCTTCGCAAGCCGATTGATCGGAAAAACAAAGAGGTAAAGGCCGCAAAGGCTATGGCCGCCTCCAGCTGTGATAAGGCAATGTTTCAAATTGCCCAAAATGAAGTACTGACCCTTGATCTTCTTTATTATCAGGCGCAGGCGACCGCCGCTGTTCGGGCTCAGCTAGAGACGGCCCAAAAGAAGGTTGACGAGCTGGAGGGGACCGTCACCAAACTTAAAACCGAGCTGAAACCCCTTCGCCAAAAAATGCACTCTTACGAAGCCATGGAGAAATCTTTGGCTAACTTAAAAGAACGCCTGGTGAACCAGGAGAAGAGTCTTACCCAAGAGCTCTCGGACAAGGCCGAGCAAGAGAAACAAGAGCTCGTCCGGGAGATGGTGGAAGACTCCGCCCAAATCCAACGCATGACCTGGGAACGACTGTTCCCCAGTGCCGACTTTGCCTCATGGGAAAGAACGTACCGCCAGTGTTCGGAAATATATAATCAACAGATCCTGGCGGCTGCTGAAGAAGAGGCGATGGACGTTGCGTTGGAGGAGGAAGAGCCGGTTGTGGCGCTTGTGCCACTTGGGGGTAAGGCATCAAAAAATGATGCAGCTAAGGCCGAGTCCAGCAAGAAGAGTGCTGACCAGGCGGCTGCTGCTGATACTGAACTGCCCCCTTCTTAAGCTTTAAGTATATTTTTTTCTTTTCACGGCCTGCGTGCCGTTTGCTTTGTAATTACCCGGCCAGGGGGCCGGGGTTTTGAATATTCTGCTGGTCTTTTATGGCCGGCTCATTTTAATCAAATATTTTGTTTTTGTTCAAATTTGTCTAAGTATTTGAAGTTTGCTCACTTGACCGACTGTTGTGTATGGCCAAACGTTTAGACAGGTAAGTATGCCGCCTATGCCCCTGGACGACTGGTTGTCTGTTTCCAGGATAGATGATCAGTCGGCCATTTAATCAATCGGTATTCGAACTCTTTATTCAATTTGACCAAGTAAATAGAATTACCTAGTAGCCAAGGATTTTAAGTAGGAAAACAAGCGGCGGGTACCGGTTGTTTCCTTTTATTGCCAATGTTGGCTTTAAACTCGTTATTTTTTAACCTAGCAAGAGTATTGGTTGAGAGCCTTTGTTTATTAAAAACAAGTGGACGACTCATACCTTTTAGGCTTCATACTAAGTTTGAGTGACTATTAAGGTAACATAGGAGTTACTTAGTCTTTGTCACAATCTTGATTGAGTAGTAGAGGTATCAGGCGGCGTAGGCCGGCTAGACCCCTTGATTCACCAATGTAAGCTATTAACTTAATAGGTTATCCAGTAGGAATAGGGGTTCGAGTGCCCTTGTTTGTTTAAAACAGGCGGACGACTCAAACCTTTTAGGTTCCATACCAAATTTGAAGGAGTGACTATGAGTTAACTTTGGAGTTACTCAGTCGCCGTCACTTTGTTTGAGAAGTAGAGGTACCAGGCGGCGTAGGCCGGCTAGACCCCTTGATTCGCCAATGTTTGTTGGCTATTAACTCAA